GATTCTACAGGCTTTAGGGTGTTGGACTATATAGCCATGGTATGGATCAATCAACAAAGCAGACTCTGCAGCTTCTTCCTGGTGGTACATATCTTTCACAATAGTTGAGTCCTCTGATTCTACACATGTTTGGATACACACACAATCTTTGAGCAATGGGAGTCAACACATGACATGGATTCTTCCCCAAGTACAAATAACAAATCTCTAGGCTCCTCCACTCATCCAGGAACCAGGAGGAAGAATACGTCTGAGCAGCACCACGGCGCCTCCCCCGAGACGTGAACAGTGGTGCCTCCACTTGAACCTGGCCAGACAGTAAGATACTTCTTCATCACACGCTATGCTGCGATGAAGCAACACACATTCACACACACAAAAGAAAAAAAAGAAAAGAAAGAAAGAATAGAATCAGATTAATATTTGTGAGTCTGAATTTAAAAAAGGACAGAAGTTTGTTTCGTCCTTTGGCACATAATGGAGAGTAAACTCTTCCTGCGAAAAAGCAAGTGAATGCACAGGTGTACATTGATCTTGCCGAAAGTCAGTCGGTTAAAAAACGTTTAAAAAGCACCAAAAAAAATAAAAATAAAAATAAAAAACCAACTACAAAAACAAGAGAAGTTGTAAGATTCGAAGAGGTCAAAATCTCGATCAGTATCGATTAGATTGCATTGGGTAAGGAAGTCCCACTACATTGTTTCTGGTGTACCTGAATCGTTTTTTAGCCTCTGGATTAGGATTCCTCACCTGGATTTCTCTCACGCGCCTCACGAACAAGTGCAGAAAAGTATAAACTAAGACAACGAGAAACAGTGCTGAGCGCGAAGTGATGAGAGAATGCCCAAATACAGGCTGCAAAGTCCGAGCAGAAAGGAAAATGGTGGAGTGGTGTGGAATCGGGTGACTTACTGCAGGCGGTTGCGGTGCATCGGATTGATATCTTCACGAATTAAATATGGCACGACAGGAAGTTTGAACGATCACCCAGCTATCGTCCACGATCATGCGGCCCTTGGCACCGCCCTCCTCACACACGAGAGCTGCAGCAATTAGCATTCACAGGCTTCTTCTTCTGCCGCTGTGTCCACCGGCGGTTGACACCAGTGTTTTTTTGTTTGTTTGTTTGTGGGCTGCCGTTGCCGCTTCTAAGCCCCTTGTCCTCCTGGTCTCTATCTGTTGTCAAGATCTGTAAGTTAACGATGCCTCAATCAATGGTGTTTCACAGCTTTGCACCTGCTCACAGCAAAGCATATGATAGTTTTATGGGTCACTTCGAAACTACCCCGCACACTGGTATCCGTAGAAGCTGGATGTCAGTAATAAGATGAACAGGTTCATCAAATCAAGCACATGGCAGATTTAAAATCTGGTGATTGTCTCACAATTATCTTGGTATTTTAAGGGTTATGAGCTTGAAGTGAAGATACTTAACTTGAAAATGGTGTTTTATTAATGGTAAATTATGGTTTGTAAAGGGTGAAGTCTTGTAATGACAACTAGGTTTAAATTTTAAAATGTAACTAGAAATAAGGCTCTTATGTACCACTTATATCATACTCTTTGAAGTTTATTTTATTATTTGAGATTTCAAAATGAATATGCAAAGAAGAATTTCGTTCACTCATTCCTTAATAATGATAATCCACAAGTGGTATTCATCCACATGTTACAAGTATGGAGGTGGTTTTAAAATTTCTTCTGAAATAAACAAATCAGTTTTGAAATACTTTTACTGATAGAACTTTATGATATTTATAATTAGTCAAATTTTTATAATTAGTTGTTTAAAATAATTTTCTAAACTTTTCTTATTTATACATAGTTAATTTTGAAAAAATAAATAAAAGATTACTTTCTTGATGTGGATTGTTGTTTTTAAATATTCTATGTTTAAATTTTAAATTATGTAAAAATATTTTATAAATTAAATTGTTGTATATATCATCACTCATATGTAAAAATTATGTTATATGTAAACATCTATAGCAGAAAACAATAGGAATATAAAAATTTAACAAATTATAATGAAAAATATTGTTTTATATATGGACATTCTAATGAAATAAATAAAAACCTAAATATTATTTTAGAAAAATGTATGTGACTTTTAATAATGATGTGTAAATAATATAGATAATTTTATTCATCTGTAGCACAGAAGTTTTAAAGGATATTTAAAATAACAACCATTAAAATATTGTTATGATTATTTAAATAGAAATAAATAAGAATATCTCTAACAATAATACTTGCACTATATATATATATATATATATATACACACACACACACATATATATTTTTATGTATAATAAACAAGAAATTCTAACATGTACTAAGTAGAAGGTATGTAAGAGTTTCTTGTCCAGCATTTTATCTAGTTTAATAAAAGAGACATTTTATGAGTAGAATTTAAATAGTAGTTTAATTTTTTAAAAAAAACATCAAAATTTAAAATAAATTTATGTACAATGATTATAGATATATTTTTCAATAAGGATATTTTATTTAACTCTAATATATTAATTGATTATTCTTATTTTGTTGACTTATTAATTAAACTTTAGAAGAAAATAAGAAATTTCCAAAAGAGTTTTTCTTTTGCAATATTGAAGTATAACCTAGTTAATACAAATGTTAGACCAACAGAGCTTGGTTTTGATAAGATAAAGCAAAAAATACTTGAAGTGATATCTAACATTTGTAAAAATCTAATATCATTAGAATAAAATGAAAATATATACTATGTAATATCTAAATGGTAAGATACCATTTATTGGTTCTATGTTAAATAAGTCATAAATCACTAATTCTTATAAAACATTTATTCTTTTTCTTAATTTCTTTTTATTATTGAAATTTTTAACTTGAAAATTTAAATTATTTTTTCTAATATTATATAATACATGTATTATTTTTTACTTGTAAAAAAAAACATCCATAATTAATAAATGTTGTATTTGAATTAATCTTGTAATAACTAAGAAATAAATTCAAAGTCAAATTTAAAGTCAAATTTATTTTGTGCAATACAACTGAATGTGTATAACATGAATAACAATATATGTTTTGAAACACATTATCTAAAAATATATAAAAATCAAAATATATTTAGATGTGAAAAGCAATTTATATACATTGTGTTTTACTAAAAAGTTTTACCATATTATCAACACATTTTTTGCTAGCTGAATGTGCAAGTCAAAATATGTGTGCATATAATCTGCATTTATATCTTGTAATTAATAAAAATTTGCAAAAGGCATGTTAATTGCATTATAAGACTGAATTTTTCAAATACCACATTTGGTATCTTATTAAACAAATTCTACATATTATCCTACGGTATTGTTTGTTATATGATTGTCATGGCACCTCTCAAGAAAAAATGAACAGCACAGGTTAAATATTAACAGGAACTTTTCAAAAAAATATAGCAATACGGATTATATATATATCTATATATATATCCTTTTATTTTTAAAATTTTCTGCAAATCATGATTTATCCCTTCAATACTATAAAAATGTAAAATAATCATTCTCAAAAATATTTTTGTTTATAGCTTTAATTAATGCTAAGATTAAAATACTCTTTTGAGACATAACTTTATATGAAGTTTAAAATAACAGTTAATGATCACATTTTAACATCTTATTAATAGCCGCTACAAAGTACTAAAAAATTACATGGCTACAGTTGTTCGTTATAAACCATATCTATCATAACTAATTTTACATGACAAAAGAATGGTGTGGCTATTCGAAATCTTTACATAAAAATCATAGTTGATTATGTATCAATTGGGCCTGAGTGATGCCACACATGTATCAATTAAACAGTGCTTTACGAAGCTTTCAAATCACCAAAACCCCTTTTTGACCACCCACACTTTACCTCACTTGTTTTTGTTTTCTTTTTCATCCAATTGATGAATGTTTTCTTTTTCATCCAATTTATCAGACACTGCAGCCTATTAGATGCTCTGCAAAGTCATCCCATGAGACATTCCTTTGTGACCCAATTGCGAGTTAGATGCTTTGGTTAATCGAATGTCTCTGTTTGTGAGTGTGTGTGTCTGAACCTCAAATAATCACCCAATTATTCTATTCAGCACCGAGAGAACAAGCATGGCCTGTGGTACTCCTTGTCTGCCTCCATTGCAGATTCTAGAATCGCTTGAGCCCAGGCACCGCAAGCTCCTCAAACATTGCTGTCTCTACTCCCTCCCCATACCTGCAGAGAATGCAGCTCATTGAAGGCTCAATGGTCATGTGTGGGACCTTGGTGTTGTAAAAACTCTCATTTGCAGCTCTGAATCATGTCAGCACACAATTAATTATATCTACTACTTCCATCGTGCTTCATGTCGGCATGGATCGGTCCGAGGACCCCATTGAAATCGTGCACTGAAACGAATGCAATAGCATGATTAGTTCTGAGTTCATTTCGAATTAGTTTTTCCACGACTTCTCAAACACCTCAGTGTTGCACTGAAGAGAGATTGATGTTACAATGAAACAGTTTTACGGACAGTTGATGGTCAAGGACTATGTCGCGTTACAGACAGGTCTACAGGTTGCCAGTGATGAAATGTGTGTTTCGCCACTCCAGACAACTACTATGCGATCTGAGCCTCGCCTTTTGTATCGTCGTCCTGGTGATATTTCCCAACGAGTGAGCCGCGCCATCGCTCTCGTTGCACATAAGCACGTCCTCCCAAAGCGCTTCCGGGTACTGGGTTTTGGTTGGGTGCATCAACTGATTCAGATAAGTTTCACAGGGCTGGATGTCCACGATGGATGGTGTTTGTATGCGGCACAACATGGCCATTACGAATTGTTGAACCCATTCATTACTGCACTCCTTTACACATGTCTACTACCATGTTTTAACACGTCATCTTCGATGCAAAGCTCTGAATCTCTGCCCCATCGGATCTCATTTGCCAGAACTTGCAACCTTATCTAAGGGTGGTCTTTGGTCTTATGGGCCCCCCACCATCAATGGCATCGAGTGGAGCCTTCCCTGCTTCTTCTTGTCCTCGATAGATGTTCATCTGGTCGGAGGGGCGGTTGCCTCCTACTTGTGGACGTACTTGCGTTGCAAGTGAATGCCGCTATCCACTCGGAGGCTTTGCGTCTTCAAGAATGTGTCAATGATATTCCTCGTGTCCGCCCTCCTCAAATATCCATCACGGCCATCGCCTTCGTCTTTGTCCTCACTTCGCTCCACCAAGTCGCTCAAGTTGAAGAACAAGCGCTGCTTTTTCTTAAGGATGTCGCACAGAGCACATTCAAGGAGCTTTTTGGTGGACCAGCCATGTGCTCCCTCAGGACAAATTCGACAGCCTCAACGTCTTGCAACTATCAGTGAACATCTCCGACAGACGTGCACAGCACTGCTCTTCCACAACAGACCAATACATGATGATAATGTTCCCCTCTCGATTCTCATTGTCGACAGCATGCATCCTCTCAAGTATAATTCTTAATCTATTTTATCAGCTTCTGCTTTCCATTGCGCCATTCGGCTTCTTTTACAGCATTGCAATTTTCGATCCACACCTTTTTGTCCATGAGATCGATGTTGATCGCCCCAGGTCCCACTCTGTCACCACCTTCTCTTGCAATCACAGTGTCTAGCAATCTAGACAAAATCACTGTAGTAGTATCACTGATGAACGGGTCGGAATCTAGGATGCCAGCCTTCGGGGGTGACGCAGCTCCTCCGAAAATCCAAGTCAACCAGAACATGAACATCGACATTCTGCATCCAGAGTCAGCGACCAAATCAATTAAAACTGCCTTTCGTCTGGAACTCCAAGACTGCGCAGTGGAACTCATGATCCCTGTAACTTGGATCATTTCTGAGACTCTTTGGCCACGGAAGGCCGACGTTCTATGCACCGAACTCGTAGAGCCGATCCTGGTACAGCAAGACATCGACAGGACCAGCGCCTCCCCATGCTAGTCGCATTTGCCATTTTCATTGTTGAGGTTGTCGATCTTTGAAATCATTTTGACCTAATTTCGCAGGATTCACAGGACAATTTCTCACAGAAGTTGCACATTGGCTTTGTTCTAGAGCTTTTTTGGCTTCAAATCCTGTGTGGCATCTGGGCTTGGGTAGGTAACATGTTGGACACACCGTTGCATTGTTGAACCTGATCTTATGTTGCACTCGAGATTCGCTGAGTTGCTGGTGGTGGTAGGATTCGGACTCTCGCGGTTGTGCATTTCAATCTTGGTCACTTGGAATGGACAAATGTGTGCATGCATATGTTTAGAAGAAAGAGATTCTTTTAACTTTTTCTGAGTATAAAAATTTAGATTGGAAACATTTGAGCCATGTGAAGATGTCTTAGAACACCATGTATCCAAATGGGTGGAAATCATAGTCGAAACATTATTTACAATTGTGTGTTGTATTCTAGTTGGGCAAAGATAAATAAAGTTTAAACAAATGATCAAAAGATAAAATAAGAACACTTTAGCAGATAAAGCTAAAGTAGATGAATGAGATTATGTATATTTAAGGATTGTAGCAGTATGTAGTATGTAACTACAACAACCCCAAAATTTGACACTTCAAACAAAATGACTAAATTTAGATCAAAAGTCACAAACAGTAAAAAGAAACATTCAGAGAAGAATATAGGATAACTACATTGTTGCTAAAATTTAAGAAAAATCTTGTTTTTCTTGAATGTATGAATCTTCTCAAATTTTAATCCTAGCTTCTTTTCATTGGTCAAAATCTGTCAAATATAATAATAATAAAATTAAAATTAAAATTAAAAACAAATTAATAGATGAAAATGAAGAAAAAAAAGATATAAATGAATTAAGTAAAGTTCAACTACCACCTCATAAAAATATAAACAATAAAAAAAGATATACTATTATTAAAAAAATCTAGAATAATAGTAATGATATTATAGTAATAATAATAATCATCATAACCATGACAAGAATTGATAATCTTTACAAAATATAACACAGTTGACACCTTGACCAATCCAACAGAAGTGAACATAATAATAATAATAATAATAATAATGATAATAATGAAAATAACAAGAATAAACTCTCTTAAAGAAAATGTAAGAAACACATATTGCCTCCACAACTCAAAATGAAAAACACAGATAGTTGCTTGAAGAAATTAAGAGCTAGTCTATTTAGCCATTCAGTCATGGTATTCCACAGCCAATAAGTGGCAAAGTTTGAGTTGAACAGTCGTTCCAATGTTTTTGTAAATCCATCACCGGCCATTGCTACATTTCCCCTCTGTCTAGTCTGCATAAAAGTGACTGTAAACCGTTGTAAAATCAACAAAAACTCTACACAACGAGCTTAGAATACAGATGAGGAAGGCTGCAGATCTACAGATGCAAAGCAAACGATACACTAAGTTGTTTTCAAATGTGGATGGTACAAATCATCGATCAGATGTAGCCATTGCCACTGACGGAACCTGGTTTCAGGTCGTCTATCAGCGGTGGTGACACGGCTACGATCATGAGGATGAGAACAATGCCGGCTATTGGGTAGTCAGAGTAATCTACACAAGCCTCTAAAAAGGGCTCTAAAAATGAATCTGATGAATGTGTCGGTCACTACACAAGGGTATCCGCCGAACTGTGACTGTTTGACGAAGCTGAATTGGATAATTCTACATAAGAGGAAACAAGACAGAAAAGCAACCACCACGCCCTGGAATGTTTCTTTCTTGTTAAGAACATGCCTCGAATGGAGTGGAATATGAGGACAGAACAACATTTGCAATTCAGTTGTCCTCACCGTCATCCTGGCAAGAGCTGCAGCCCACTGGGGCGGAATCGACAGGAACCAGTTCTTGTGGAAGTGTGGACTGCGGCATCTCTTGGAGTTTACCGAGAACCTGCAGCATGTTGAGCCGCTCAGATGGTGCAGGGCTAGTACACAGAATCGCCGCGTGCAGGATGTGTAATATCTGGGCGATTTGGGACTCATCCGATGATTGGAACAAGCTCATGTCGATGGCATACTGCTCCCGCTCTTGCGCCTGTAAGGACCGAACCCAGGTGGGTAGACTCATCACTCCTACTTCTACTTCGCACTCGCTCGTCGGCCTCTTGCCAGTTATGATCTCCATCAGTAGCACTCCGTAGCTGTACACATCTCCTGCCTTGGTCAGGTCGCGGAAGAGCTGATATTCTGTCACCACACGCATGAGTATGTCAGCCATTGAGAACCGGAACTAAATAATGCACCCCTTGGTGTAAGGCAGTGGGAGGGGGAAGAGACGTTTGTGTGGGAGGAAGGTTCACATATGAAGAGAAACTGTGTCAGAGGATTCCAAATGTGGCCGCATGCACACAGTGTGGCTAATAGTAAACCTTCTATACACTAAAAACCAAGTCACAAATGGAACGATTAAATTGTGCCCCATGCACTTTGTACAGTATTACAGACGATTTTCATGAAGCATGATTTCAATGGATGATCACCAGGAGGGACGTAACCAGGGGATCCAACCCAAGCAGTAACTGTGGAGTCTCCGCTACTGCGACGCTTGAATAGGCTCGCCACGCCGTAATTCACAAGCTTGGGCTCCATGTCTGAATCTAACAGCACGTTGGCGGCCTTCAAATCACAGTGTACTATCGGATCGCCGCAAGTCTCCTGGTGGAGATGCACTAGCCCCGCTGTCACGCCCATTATAATCCGCAACCTCTCGTTCCAGCTTCCCACGCAATCGCCACAGCACCCTCGTCAAGCTCTCATACGCCATCACAGAAAATTCAAAAAGCACCTAGAAGGCATATACAAGCTCATTCTACCCACATTCCAGATGAAAGCGTGCCACGGCATTGATACCAAATTGCATCATAGCAAGTTGAAAGAGCTAGAGGACTGACTTGAGCAGGCAGGTATGGTGCCCTGGAGGGTGCAGATGCAAATCCAGGCTGCCGTTGGGCATAAATTCAAGCAACATGGAAAGGCTGCTGGGATTTTTAGTGTATCCCATGAGGCGGACCAAGTTGCGGTGCCGGATTTTACTGAGCTCCAGCATTGCTGCGTCCAGTCTGGACCGATCCTTCTTCCCCAACTTTGCAATGGAACATTGTAGCACAGCGAACACGGTGCCGTCAGGGAGAACGGCTTTTTCAATGCTACTAAACCCCACGGCCCGGCGGATGGTGCCGCTTAGACTTCGACTAAAACTTCCGTTGGGGGTTGTTATGACGGATGTAGCAGCGTGAACATCTTCCGCTGAGAGATTCAGAGCTTTAAAGTACTTTGAGAAGAGGGTCACCGTCTCAGATTGAACTGGTTGTCGGCGATGGACAAGGTAGCGAAGCAGGAGGGCAAGGAAGATGATGGTGGCCGCCCCTTCCGCGGCAGCACCAATGACGGTGATCAATGTCGGGCCACCTCTACGTTGATGGTCATGATAAGTGGGGAGCGGTTGGGAGTTAATATTGCTTGGACATGGCCGTGCAGCCAGCCTACCGCACAGATTCAGGTTACCGAGAAAAGAAGATGAGGAGAGGCTAACGAAGATGCCATTGTCTGGTAACGGCCCCGAGAGCTGATTGAAAGAGAGATTCAAGAAAACGAGAGAGCTCAGGTTCGCAAGCGTCTCAGGTACAGGACCGGAGAGATTGTTGAATGATAGATCGAGCTTGGTCAGGTTATGAAGCATCCCGAAGCTGCTTGGGATCAGCCCAAGGATGTTGTTGTGTGAAATATTCAGGGTATGTTTTAAGTTTGAGAGCAAGCTGAGGGACGGAGGTATGGCTCCGCTTAGTTTATTGTCGGAAAAATCCAAGCTTTGCAGCTTCGAGCAGTTGCCAATGCTTTCCGGAATGGTTCCAGTGAAGGCATTATTCGAGAGGTTCAAGCCGATGAGGTCTTGTAAGTTTCCAAGCGTTGAGGTAATCAATCCAGAGAGCCGATTATGAGAGACATCGAGGTAGCTTTGCAAGTGCACCAAATTCCCCACCGTGGAATCCACAGACCCCGTCAAATTATTCGAGGAAATGTTAAGAAACCTTAGGGACGTGCAGTTCAGCAACGAAATCGGCACATTGCCACTGAATTTGTTTCCACCCATGTGAACGGACCGTAAAGCGGGCGACCATCCCAACCATGTCGGAATTTCTCCCATGAAGCTGCATCCTTCAACATTGAACTCCTCGATGTCCACGCATGAGGAGAGATTGCTCGGAAGCGGACCCCAGAATGAATTCCCGTTGAGACGAAGGATCTTCAGGTGCTTCAGAGCGCCAATTTCCTCCGGAATTGATCCTGTCAAATTGTTCCCACCAAGGTCCAAAGTCTCCATGTAAGTGAAATGGCGTATGTACTTCGTCAAGACCCCTTCCAGTTTCCTTTCAGGAAGACTGAGGGAGATGACGCGACCGACATTCTCCCCGACCTCACCACATCGGATGCCATACCAGTTGCAATGGTTAGGATTGATGATGTTCTTCCACTGCTTGAAAACGCCCGTTGGATCTGCTGTTAATGCACTCATGAAGTACAACACTGCCTGACGCTCTAAATCTATAGGATCTTCAAGAGACGGAGCTGGAGATGGAGCTGGAATTGGAATTGGTGCACTAGAAGGGGCTGGAGATGGAGTCAGGGCACTCAAAGGTGGTGACTCTCGCGGAGGTGGTAAACTTGGCTGTGATTGAGGTGCCGGGAGAGGAGGTACTGGAAGTGTAGGAGATTTGGAGGATGGTCGCAGAAGAGGAAGCGGCGGGGTGGAGGCAGGAGGGAGTTGTGCAGGAGCCTGAATCTGCTGCAAGGGTGGTGGGCTTGGCTGTCGAGGAATCACTTGCTGTGATGGTCCTTGCAAGAGACGCCTTGAAACCACCTCTCCTAATTCACAGCTACGCTGTTCACAAGTTGCTGGGATACCACACCATCTGCATTTGAGATTGATCGAGGGAGGGAGAGACCCATTTCTGCAACTTCTATTTCCCCAAGGAGGACGCGTTGGAAACTTTGACCCTTGCGATACAAAATTGAAATCGAAGGTAACTGATTCATTTCTTACCAGATTTAATTCTTGGCGACTTCCATGGTTGAGCGGATGGGTAGTCAGCAGATGATGCATCTATCACGTTCACCGTCACTTCCTTCCCGGGACACGATAATTCTGCTTCCTCCGTCGTCTCAAAAAACTGGCTGCATTTGACGGTTACTCCAGTCAGGTGGCTGGAGAGAGTCAACACTCTTGAAAAACAGACAATAGATGTCTGGGCACTATGTGCTTCACCATTGACACAGAAAATGAACGTCATACCAAAGCCCAGTCCTCTATACGATTTAATTGTAGCCTTGAAGGTTGAGTAGGAGTACCTGGAGAAGTACAATATTGCACAAGCAAGAAAAACGAAGCGAACGAGACGCAGCAACCCCCAGAGCTCTGCCATTGATCCCTAACCACTCTCGTTTCGATTAGACGTCACCTCGAAAATACGTGACTCCGACACATTCGAAGCCAGATTCACTATTATTACATCATCCAGTGTTGCACGTTTGCTCATGTATTCACACAGATCTGCCGTTTTCTTCTTCCTCTCATGATTGAAAGCTCGACTCCGCGCGCAGGTGCTCCAACTGCGCATTCTCCGCATGAATACTCGGAGACTTTTGTCGAGGGCTCATGTCTTTTCCCCGAGCTCGAATGCCATTGGAAACAACCTGGTGGAGTCCTCTACCTTAATACCTACCGCTTCCAAATCAGCAGTGAACGGGTCCCCAATCGAAACGTACGCGATTTCGGTAACACCACTACATCAAACATTGCATATACTTCGGTCTGCTACTTCGGCTAAACTTCGTGGAACAATCTCCGTGCTAGACAAGAGCTTCATAGCAGCGGATTACGAGTACAACAACAATTGTCCAAACCGTTTCCACCAGACATGGGATTCTGCCAAGCCTCAACAACATTCTCCCTACTCGGCAGCGTCAACAACAAAAGGGCAGCCGTAGAAATGCGACCTCCTCAATGCGGCCACCATCACATCTAAGCACAATCCAGCCGTGTCAACAACCAGGATCATCGTCTTGCTTCTGAGGCACCCACAAAAAAAAAGTCGACAGCAGGGGCTGCACAGACTCAGTCTTTCGTTCTGCATCCCAAGCCTAGACTTCATGCACAGTTGAATCCATTCCGTAATCCATCATCAACAACAACAACAACAGCAACGTAGGACAAGTGTGGAAACTAGAGTGCGATCAGCATCGGGGCCAGTAAGAGGCAAGCGGGGAGGGAGGCACAGACAGGGCGGCACCCGCGAAGGGGAACCGGAACATGGGACGCATGAAGCGCGGCGCTCCGCGTCCACGACGGAGGGCGGTGCGCCAGATTAAGCAAATAATGGGCTGAGGCTTCGCACACTCTCTCGCGGCCTCTCACAATGCTTGCTCACAATGCGGCTGAGCGTCGCCACTGCTCCAGGTCTCCAGCTCAGTGCCTGACCTCACTCACTATTCATGCATGGCCTGCATTCCCTCAAGGCACCTTCCTTCCCTCTGATGCTTTTAACGAACGCACAAGTACTACGCAGCTCTGCTTGAATGTCGAGTGTTCACGTTTTGGTGCTTTGAAGGGAGGCAGATTGGGATTGTTTACTATCATCAAATTCTAATTCCTACAAATCAAATATAAATATATATATATATATATAGTAGGGTGGTTAATGCTTTTGCAAAATGCTGGCAAATTAGTAGTGAAGATGGTGTAAGCTTATTTTGGTTTGATCTTGTCATTTTTTCATTTAAATGTAAAAATATGTAGAGATATTTTAAATGGATTTGTTAAGAAAAAGAAAAATAAATCAAATATAAAAAATAATGATATTATTTACCAAAAATTAAATTAAATTAAATTAACAATTGATGGATAATGTTTGAGTTCTTAAAAAGTGCATAAAAATACTTTTACTTTTCTTTCTTTCTTTTGTTAATTTAAAAAAAAAAATTAATTTTGAATATTTTTTTTAACTTAAAAATATTTTTTATATTAATAATAATTTTAGTATTTTTATGAAAACATAGCAAATAGTGTATTGCAAACTTCATTAATGTAGTAGCAACTCCAAGATATAGACAAAAGAGTTGCCATTGAATTGGCATAAAAATAAATTGTGACAACTACAACTTTCAATGATGAGTAGGAGTATAGAAATCAGATTTGGTATAACAACAATTGCACCTATTAGGCTTTGCATATTAATTTTGTGTTAATATTATATAAATATTATTTATAAAAATAGAAAATTTACAAAAGAAAGTCGTAGCTACATCAAGTACTTAATATGAATTAACATCATCAAAATAGCTATTAATTATAATATTATGATTGCTAAAAATCTATATTTGTAAAAACATATCATAGTCTCTTATTTTAATGGCAACATACTAGCCATACAATTTTTTTAATTTATAAGAGAGTAGATTATTCCACTTCTTTCATTGTGTTTTTAAGGTTATAGACTATCTATCTTTAAACTAATATTTTTTTTTTATTTTTTGACATTGATTCTTTTCTTAAAGATTGTGGACTATCTTTCTTTGAAGAAATTTTGATACTATTCTTGGCAAAAGTAAAAATAGATTAGAAACTATTATAAATCTTCATGAGCTTGTTAATGTTTTTTATGTAGAAATTTTACATACTACCAATGTTAACTATAGAGGTATTATTCCTATGTCTATGCAAGAAGTTAATAATGATATTCAATGCTTATGCTAAGGTAGTGAATAGTTAAAAAAAAAAAGTTGATCAACCTCTAATTTGAATCTAAAAAATCTTTCTACTATAAATATAAGGGATGCAAAGATTAGTATGGCAAAGAATTTTCATGGAAGAAGATCATAAAATTTAGGATTCTTACAACAAATCAAGTTCTATGTAATGTTTCATCTTTCTTGATATTTTTATAAATATACTCAAGTTGGATTTATAGGCGCACTCATATTAAAAAGTGTTCTTTTTTAATTTTCACCTTTGATAGAAAATAATATACAAATCTTATATGATCTTAATTTATTCTTGGAAGTATTTAAAGCTACATTAAGAAAAAGTAATTGAAAAAAGGTAGTACAAACCAAATTCCTAATTTTATGATAAAGCTATCAATTAGTTACTACATATGTTGCTGAATTCCAAAACCTTACTTATAACATAGATTAAAATGAAAAAGCCTTTATCAATAAATTTTGATTTGAATTAAAAGATAATGTCAAAGTTTCATTATTGATAATATCAAACGTAGACTCATTGGAACAATTTATTGCTCAAGCCATAGCATGTAACAATTGACTTTTTGAAAGATACAAAGAATAAGGATTTGGTTGAAAAATAAAAAATCAAGTTAGAATAACTTTTAATTTTTTAGAAACTTATTCATCAAGGCTAATATCTATGTAAATTCATAGGATACATTTTAAACTACTTACAAAGCAAAAAAAGAGTTAATGTTGTTGTATTTTGTGAAGTTTGCTTGAGAATGCATTGGACACTTGTCTATGAAAGGTAAAATAGAAGTTGCAACAAGAAAATTTTAATGATTTTAATAAAATATTGAACAAATTCTACTTAAATTATAACAATATTAATTAATTTTTAATTAAATTTCAAAATAATCTTAAAGAACTTACAAAATAAATATAAAGAAATCATAAATTAACCTTAAATATAAATATAAATATAAATATAAATATATATATATATATATATATATATATATTTTATAAAGAAATTCTAAAGAAATATCAAAAAAATCTTAAAGAAATATTAAAAATAGAAATTCTAATCAAATCCTAATCAAATTCTAATATAACTTTCAAAAAATCTTCATAAAATCCTAAAATAATTCTAACTAAATCCTAAAAAAATCCTAATGAAGTCCTAAATCAATCCTAATCAAGTCGTAAATAAATTCTAAACAAATTCTAAATAACTTCAAAAAAATCCTAAGTAAATTATAATTAATTATTATAATTATTTTGAAACCTCAATAAATATTAATTAAAATTTTGATCTTGACTAATATTTCACCAAACTTTAATACACAAGTAACTTATAACCATACAAAATTTGAGAAGAATCAAACTCATTGATTGAAAGAAAAGCTCTTAAAATCTCTCAAATATTGATTGTCATCCTTCTCCAACTTGAATGTTGATCTTTCAATAAATATTTTTTTTTACCAAATTATTCAATTTTTCCAAAAATTATCTAGCGTATAGATATTTAATGTGTAGGTATTTAAGTCTAAAGTTATTTTATCAGTTTTTGCTTCAATCAAACTGGCAGATGTTGCATAATCACAAAAATCCTTATTAATCCTAAATTTCAATTATTTGAGATGATAATCTACAAAAATTCTTACAACCTTTAAGCTAACTATTCAATTGATATCAAATTTATTACATACATTAATAACAAACATAATGACAAATTGACAAACTTTCACTTATAAATAAATTATAATACTTATAAAATCATCAAATTTGTGAACTTCTTTTTATTTCTTAAAATCCAAAGCCATCGAATACACCTCTCACTATGAAAAGCTCTCAAAACCTCAATATACCTTCAAATTACATGAAATCAACTTTCAAAAATCTTTTCACAAGTTTGGTCTCAAATTCTATTCTTCAATCAACAAAAAAACCTTAGAACCACTATAGGTATATGGCTTTGTACCTCAAGGTCTAATTTCAACCTTGGTTCACAACCAATTTTTTTTTCCGATATCAATTCTTTATATTTGACATAATTTTTTATTAAAACCTATTTCTAATCTTTTTCTAAATATACATATAGAAATTATATATCTTACTTACTTTGATTTCGCTCATTTATATTCCTACAAAGTAAATAGAAGTTTCTTCTATAAAAAAAAAATATTAAGACAAAAGTTTTTACTATCTTTTTATTATTTATCCTCTTTTTATTAAGTTATTCTATAATAAAATAATTTCTTTCTTCTTTCACCTAATGGTTGTATTACTACACAATAATATTATGAAGAAAAATTATGCTTATATTATAAAAAATCTAAGCACATTACTTAATATTTTTTAAAATAGTAATATAATTATAAAATAATGAGCATGATTTGTAAAAAAGAGAATGTGTCAAAAAAAAATTGTTCAATTACAATAGGAATCAAGAAGTTAAAATCTTGAATAATACCTATTAAAGATCCTACTTTCTTTTCAAATTCATCACCTTATTTTACAATGGATGTTTATTTGTGACCAAAAAATTAAAAAAAACTTTCCTTGTATCACTGATGTATACAATTATATAAATAAGAAGTATTAGATAGAAGATAAATATAAGTAGATTTGATAGTATCTTATGAAGAAGAATCTTAGAAGCTTCATAGATATGAATTTGATTTTCAATATATTCATAGTTGATTGATAGATTATAAATTTAACCAATAAATTGAACATGTATTGCATATGTTGGTAACTTGTTGTCACAGACATACATATTTATCTTGATAATTATCTAGATAATAAAAATAGATAAAAGTAAGTCAAAATAGATAAATATGATAATATCTTGTGGAAAGCTTTCTAGAAGCTTTATAGACACTGCTTTATCTTTATACATGTCTACAGGTGATTGGTAGGTTGAAAACTTGGCCAACAAGGAAGCCACATGTCGACATGTTGACCACTTGTAGTAAAAATTGAACATATGGCATACACCTAGGAAACTTGCTTTATGAATTAAACATGTATCTTATAAGTTGGACGCATATTAGAAGTTTTATAGTATGTCGCTACATAGTTTTTAGTTAAGTAGTGTATATAGAGATAAGAGTAAGGCCTTCTTCACTCTTGTCAATTCTTTTTTTGTATTTAGTCTAGTTTCAAGAGTCTTATATTTTCTAGTCTTTCACAATAGCCATTTTAGTTCTTCCTTGAATATACATACTTTCTTCTATTTTGTTACTTTCTTTTTCATACTGATTCTACAAATTTATGTATCTTCTTTTAGTTTGTGTCCTTTGACAAATTGACAAGAGTACACATATAATATCAAAGCTTTATCCTTTCTTGATTAAGAGTGGATTAGTCCTTTTTCTTGATAAGACATAAGCGTATTAGAAGTTATGGATTACCCTCTTCTAAATTGATATTATTTCTAGAAGTTTTTTTATTTTTTTATTTTTTTATTTATTTTTTATTTTTTTCTTGATTTGTGAATATTATAGCCTATGAAAATATACACCTTTCTTTTTATTGTGCTAGCACGGAAGAGCTTGCTGAAATGAAGAGAGCAATGGCTCAAATACAAGAATAAATGAAAGAGTTAATGCTTGCAATGCATCAACTCAGTCTACCACCACAAGGAGCAATAA